GATTTATTGAGCGGCAATAATGGTTTGACAAATGACAATATAATTGTAATTGAAATAAGACAAAGTTTATATTTTTAAATAAAAAATAATAAAATTAATATCTTTAAATAAAATATAATAAACTTTACTATTTAATTAAAAAACTCAAAAAATTTATACTTTTAAATAAGAAATAACAAAATCCATATTTTTACTTGAACTTTTTCTCGGATTCTAACCATCTCTATTTTTCTTCTACGAGAACAGTAATATCTAAGCTTATTTTCTTCGTTGATCAATCTATCCAAGAGCAGCCTCTGCCTTTCTTCTCTAGCAACAACAACATTTAGAGGGTCGCAAATCTTAAAAAGCATTTATTAAAAAAAAAAAAAAAGAGTAAACTTTTCTTTCATAAATTTAAAATTTTATTAAATGAAAATTAAAAAATTAATTTTTTTTATCTCGATTATACAATGGAAGACAAATATATCTTATTTTTTATCCCATCTTACCCACATATCATGCGACTTGAAATCAGAACTTCTTATTTTTACTTGAAGAAAATGATTACTGAATTATTTAAGTCGTTAACAAAAAGTTCGAATATGTAACTTTCTCAAAATTTACTTAAAAAATTTACTTAAAAGATACTTTAAAAGTTAATTTGGACTTTCCCTCTAATAATTTTTTAAACTTATAAAAGAAATTTACTTTTAAAGTTTTGCTAAACACCCTCCTAACTTATCAAAGCTGGCTTTTTTCCATTGATCAATCTACCCAAGAAAAATTTGAATCAAATCAACCATGATTGCAACAAAAAAAATTCCATATTTGCATCTCCAATATAAATAGGGATGTCAACGGGGAGTCCCTCCCTGTCCTTGTCCCTATTACCGTGAATGGTGGGGACAGGGATCCCCGTTGAGATTTTTAACGGAAGGTAGATTTTACTCCCCATACCCATCCCCATTTCCCGCAGGGAACGGGGATTCCCATTCCCAACCAACTAATATCCAAATATATATTTTTTACATCAAACATAAATAAAGATTAATTTAACATAAATAATTAGTAGAAAAACATAAATGGTTATGGAGAAAAAACAACAATATGTTAAACTTGGTCGAAAACAATATGACATACATCCTAGAATCCTAGTACTATACTACTTAACTTAAAATCCTAAAGTCTTTCTCTTTTGCAATTACTATATCCCGCATCATATTCTTTAGAAGACACTGATTTAGACTCTTAGAGTGTCATTGACTTATTGTATATTATTTTACAAGAATAATCAAAGTAGCGAGGAAAATTATATTAAATTTAAAAAATATATATTTTTAAATTTTTCGCGGGGATGGGGATCCCCGTGGGGTCTCACAGGGTGGGGAAAATTCCCCACGAAATTTTACGGGGGGAAAATGCCCCTCATCCTCGCCCCGCAGGGAGGAATATTCCTCTCCGCCCCATCCCCATGGCGGGGATCCTTGTAGGACCCCGAGGGATCAGGGCAAATTGCCACCCCTAAATATAAAGCACATCAACCATTTCATTCTATGGATAATCCAATGGGTTTCTTGCTCCATGAGAACCCTCTGGTATGGGGAACCCATCAAACAGGTTCTCTCTCCTTGAGAACCCTGATTGACAGGTTTCCTTGGACAACCCTTATCGAGTTTTGCATAAGAACCTGATCAGTTTTTTCTTTTTTTCTTTTTTTTTTTTTTAATTTTTTTTTTTTTTTAAAGAGATGGAAGCTAGAGAAGGAGAAAGAAGAAGAATGAGGGAAGAAAGAGGAAACAAAGAAAATGAAGAAGAAGGTGGAAGAAGAAGGTGAAGGTGAAGTTTCATTAGGGAAGAAGAAACCATTTTTTGTGTTTAATTTTTTTATTGTTTAAATGAAAGTTAGTATTTGTTAATTAATAATTAATATTAAATTAAAGAAAAAAGAAAAATATTTATAATGCTATGTGATATAATAAGTTTATAACATGAAACATTTTTACATAATTGGCTCTTTTCACTCAGGTGTCCATTTATAATATTGTATAATCTATTCATTTAATGACACATCACATTGTTTTAATGACTTGTCATGATTGTAAGTTCATAGTTAAACTGTGCTTTTAAATCAAGTTTATTTGAACTTTATACTTGTTATTACAATTATATAAATGAGGTATTTGTTTATCATATATTAATTATTATTAAACTTTTCGTACATTAATATCAATAAAGTTCTTATGATATTTGTTGTATCAAAAGGTTATAGAAATCATTGCTATTACTGAGAACCATAGGATTCAATAACAACATTCTTAAATTGTTTATTAGTTGTATATGTCATTAAAATGAGACATCAGTGATATAAAAACTATCACATGCAATAGTTTAGTAGGCAAGAAGATCTCTTTTCACGAAATCATTTATCACATTTGGGTGATTCAAAGCAAGTGAGTACACTAGATTGACTTGCTATGAGAATACTACATGCATATATCATTAGTAGCTTCTTAGCTATGACATAAGCGTAAGTAAACTTTCAACTTGAGATTATTATTATTTTATTTGAGAACTTTTGTACTTTAATATTGTTAAAAATAGCTAGTATGAGTATTTGCGAGTAATATAATTATTGGATACATCACGAATTGCAGGAGAGTAATAGGTGAATCAAGATAAGATTTGTCTCTCTTGAGTTTAAGAAAAAAATATATCTTTGACCCTTTTAAATAAAATAAAACTACTTGCAAATCCATGGGTATGGCAAAAATGAATGGTTCATTTAAGAAATATGTCTATTTTAGGAATAAAAGAAAATGTATCAAGCCTAAGGACCAATTATGTGGCATAGCAACCACATCTACACTTATTCCCATACCCTAAGTTTCATTGTAAATTTATAATTTAATGTGTAATTGTATAATAAACTCTTTTATCCACTTATGATATATTGCATGTATCTACTCATTTAATGTTATATCACACTTGTTTAATGTCATGTTTTAATTGTAAATTTACAATATTATGTAACATTATAATTATAATAGTGTCGATTTTTTTAATGTGAGTCCCACTCCCTTTATGTTAGATTCTTTAATATTTATTCTTTTAATAGCTATTTTTGTTAAAAGCCCATTATATATTTACTAAAGATTTTTTAAAAACCCACTAAGTATTTATGGAGAATTTTAGAGGAAAATTTGTAGTTAAAGAAATTTCATATAAAGTTAAGATTTTTGGGTCCCACACCTTTTTGTAAGATTTGAACTATTTTATAGTATGGATTTTTTAATAAAAATCTATTGGAGATTTATTGAAGATTTTTTTTTAAAATTAAGTATTTATTGAGAATTTTTTAAATGTTTATTGAGTATTTATTTAAAAAATTTATGAAAAATTTTGTTGTTATAACAATTTTATAATAGTTATAAGAATATGTAGGTTTCATACCTTTTATATTAAATTTGAACTATTCTTTAATATGTATTTTTTAAAATAAGCTATTGGGTATTTTTTGATGATTTGTTTTTATAAATTATTGTGTATTTATTGAAATTTTTTTCTAAAATTATTTTAATATTTATTTAATAATTTTAAGAAAAAAAATTATTATTATAGTAATTTTTATATACTGTTAAGATTGTGATTTAAGATAAGATTAAATTTAAATTATCTTAGTACAGCAAGAGCACTGCATAATGATCTGAATCTTGAATTGTGTATGACCAAGTCTACAAAAGCAGCCATCACATGGGAATTAGTCTTATTAATTGTTGGTGGCTTTAAAATTTGCTGAGCGAGGCTGGGGCTAGGGCATGTTACATTCAGAATACGTTGATGGTGAGCTTAGAATAATGTCTCCTTCTATCAATTAATTTTTATTTGAATGATGAAGGAGTTCGTATTGCAGGACCGTTTCCTTATTCTTACAGAATTTCATCTTAAATTATGGCTTAGGCTTGTTAACATCAATGTGTGTGTGTGTGTGTTGGTTTTTTTTTTTTTT